AGACGGGGTTTCACCATGTTGGTCAGGCTGGTCTCGAACTCCTGACCATGTGATCCGCCCGCCTCGGCCTCCCAAAATGCTGGGATTACAGACATGAGACACCACTCCCAGCCTGAAATATTTTTAAAATTACAATATGGGCCAGGTGCAGTGGCTCATGTTTGTAATTCCAGCACTTTGGGAAGCCAAGTCAGGAGGAGTGTTTGAGCCCAGGAGTTGGAGACCAGCATGGGCAACATGGCAAGACCTTGTCTCTACAAAAAAATATCTATCTATTAACTGAGAGTGGTGGCACATGCCTGTGGTCCCACCTACCCAGAAGGTGGAGGTGGGAGGATTGCTTGAGCCCAGGAGGTCAAGGTTGCAGTGAGCCATAATCCTGTCATTGCATTCCGGCCTAGGCAACAAAACAAGACCCTGTCTCAGAAAAAAAAAAAAATTACAACACAGAACACAATATAGAGAATAGAGAAACAATGGAAAATAGAGAATAGAGAAGAAAATAAAATAATTCTTAAATCTTGCTGTTCAGCTACTGTAAACTTTTTTTTTTTTTTGAGACAGAGTTTCACTGTGTAGCCCAGGCTGGAAGGCAGTGGCACAATCTCGTCTCACTGCAACCTGTGCTGCCAGGGTTCAAGCAATTCTCCTGCCTCAGCCTCCTGAGTAGCTGGGATTACAGGTATGTGCCACCACGCCCAGCTAATTTTTTTTGAGACAGTCTTGCTCTGTCGCCCAGGCTGGAATGCAGTGGCACGATCTCACCTCCTGGGTTCAAGCAATTCTCCTGCCTCAGCCTACTGAGTAGCTGGGATTATAGGTGCGTGCCACCATGCCTGGATAATTTTTGTATTTTTAGTAGAGACAGGGTTTCACCCTGTTGGTCAGGCTGGTCTCAAACTTCTGACCTCATGATCCACCCGCCTTGGCCTCCCAAAGTGCTGGGATTACAGGAATGAGCCACTGCACCTGGCCTAATTTTGTATTTTTAAGAGATGGAGTTTCACCATGTTGGCTAGGCTGATCTTGAACTCCTGACTTCAAGTGATCTGCCCGCCTTATCCTTCCAAAGTGCTGAGATTACAGGTATAAGCCACTGCACTCGGCCACCAGCTAATTAAAAAAAAAAAATTTATAGAGACAGGGTTTCACCATGTTGCCTAGGCTGGTCTTGAACCCCTAGGCTCAAGGGGTCCTCCTGCTTTGGCCTCCCAAAATGCTGGGATTCTAGGCATGAGCTACCACACCCAGCTTATATTTTTTCTTTAAGAAACTTGTCATGCAGGCAAACAGGGCTCAGACCATGTAGAATACTGTTAAAGCTTTAAGAGTCTTGTTAAAGCTTTAAAATTATATTCTAAGTACAATAAAGAGTCTTAAAGGATTTTAAGTAAAAGAGTATGTGTATATTTAGCAACTATCCTTCTATTTGCATTTTTACTAACAGTATTTTAATAATCAAGTATGGTTGTTGCATATTTAAACAGATGCTTTGATAGTGCCTATCACAGTTAATAGATTTCCTAATATTGAACTTGCATTATACTTGCATTCCCAGCATAAAGTACTGAAACTAACTTGCCAATGTCTTATGTAGACTTTTTAACTTATATTTATAAATAAGATTGGTCAGGCCAGGCGTGGTGAGTCACGCCTGGTGGCTCACACCTGTAATCCCAACACTTTGGGAGGGTAGGGCAGGTAGACTGCTTGAGCTCAGGAGTTCAAGACCAGCTGGGCAACATGGTGAAACCCCATCTCTACAAAAAAATACAAAAAGTAGCCAGGTATGGTGGCAGGTACCTGTAGTCCCAGATACTCAGGAGGCTGAGGTGGAAGGATCACTTGAGCTCAGGAGATGGAGGTAGCAGTGAGCCAGGATCATACCACTGCACCACTGCACCACTGCACTCCAGCCTGGGCGATGGAGCCAGACCCTGTCTCAGACAGACAGACAGACAGACAGACAGACAGACAGACAGACAGACAGACAGACAAAAACTATTGACCCACAGCTTCTTTGTGTGTTTGTGGGCCAGTCTTACTCACTTTGTATTATGACATCTTCATTAGCTTCCATATTAAACTTGTATTCAATGCCAATTTCAAAAAACTAGAATGAAACAATATGCCTTGTTTCCTTGTTTTTTTCAGTCATTATATTGATATAAAGTTTAATGGTTAGGTAGGATAGCATACTATATGTATATGATCACATATAATAAGTAACAAAATTTGAAGACAGGACATTTAATAAAACAAATGCAAAAACCTATTATATCTAAATATGTTTAAAAATAAAACCCAAAGAATCTTCAATCAATATTTAGAACCCAGTTTCCTATAAACCTACCTTTTCTTCTATTTGTGGAAGAAAAAAGGAAAAGAAGTCTTCCCAACGTTTTTATATTATAACATTGACAGGTAAGTACGTGGACCTATGAGAGCAAAGGTCCAAAGTTCAAACAGCAGAGAAAGTGCCATGGAAACTATGGGTATTCAATAAGTATTGATCAGTGGTAATGACAAAAAAGTAAGGTTATTGTGTTTGGGGATAACAGAAAAATACAAAAGATAAGATGATGCCTCCTTGAGGGAATTACTGTGACAGAAGCATTATTAAGGAAGTCTTAGGTAGACAGTGATTGGATAGGGCTATTACTATGGCTATAAGTAGCCATGGAACTAGATAGCATTATAACTAATTGGTCATTTAGTCCATTTTCAAAATAAATATCTCCCACAGAGACCTACTAGATCATGCACTGATCAGCAATCGATAAGGCTGTTAAAGTGACTGGGTTGGTTTTACAGTGGTCTAATAATTTAGGACCAATAGAAAGACTCAGAGGATTACTCTTAATATCAGTGAAACGCAATTTTGGTAACTAAAGAAAAAGAAGAACAATGCAGGTTTGAAAGAGGGAGAAAGTGTTATCAATTTGACTTCAGCATTAAAGGATTTATTCCACTATGTAAGATCTCAGCTGACTAAGATGAATTGCTAGCATACCAGGTTTTTTTTTCTCCCTACCAGTCACTGGGTTTTGAGGCAAGAGAATGAGAGAGAGAGAGAGAGAGAGAGAAAATAAATATAATGTGAACGTTTAGGTAAGTAGATTCAGAGTAAGATAAACTATGTATTTTCAAATCTTAATATCTGATGGATTATCTGGTTTTAGATTACTCACAATTGTTTCACAATTTTAGGAGTACCTAAATGATAATGCTTTCCATCTGCGGAGTCTGCGGTTTCTTTATGAGACTAAAGAATTATTGCAAGGTACCTTCAGCTTGGAATAAGTTCCTTTCAATACCAGACTCTTTCTCCTTGGACTCTTCATAATCACTCTAGCAGGCAGTGAACATTCTTTACATGTCTGAGTTATCAGTGTTTGGTTTAAACCCTTATATGTTAGATGTGAAATTATATCCCTGGATTATATTTACCCACTGCATTCTACCCTATATGAAGTGGCCTTCTCAGAGCCTAATTTCCAACAATTAAGTATAAGCCTAAGACAGCTGAGAATCAAAATAAGCACGTGGCTAGCAACTGGGGGTCATGTTGTCCAAAAAGGCATTGTCCACCATTAAACCCAAGACTCAAACTCAGCAGAGTGAGAGGTTCACGTTGTGAGATGCAAGTAAGAATGGAAATCAACTGTGTGACATCTCATAGGCACTGTGGGGCATATATTCAGTGACCGGTCCTGTTGATAACTACTTAATTATTTTTTTTTTAATTTTTATATTCTTTTACAGGCAGATCTTCCCTCTGTCGCCAGGCTGGAGTGCAGTGGTGCAATCATAGCTCACTGTAATGTAGAACTCCTGGGCTCAAGTGATCCTCCTGAGTAGCTTGACTACAGGTACACCATCATGCTGGGTTAGTTTTTAAATTTTTTCTGGAGAGACAGGGTCTTGCTATGGTGCCCAGGCTGGTCTCAAACTCTTGGGCTCAAGTGTCCTCCTGCCTCGGCCTCCCAAAACGCTGGGATTATAGGCATGAACCACCACACCTGGCCCCATTTCATTAAATTCTTTTTATTCCTTCATTCTTTTTTTGATGAATATGTGTAATTAAATTTACAGAAAGCAGGTTAAGTAAATATATAATGTAGCTCCATTGCACAAGAGAAACTGTTTTTGTATCCTCTATTACCTCTTTTTAAAAAATTGAAGGCCCGGCCAGGAGCGGTGGCTCACCGCCTTTGGGAGGCCGAGGCGGGTGGATCACGAGGTCCAGAGATCGAGACCATCCTGGTCAACAAGGTGAAACCTCAGGCTGGGCACGGTGGCTCATGCCTGTAATCCCAGCCCTTTGGGAGGCCAAGGCGGGTGGATCACGAGGTCAACAGATCGAGACCACCCTGGTCAACATCGTGAAACCCCGTCTCTACTAAAAATACAAAAAATTAGCTGGGCATGGTGGCATGTGCCTGTAACCCCAGCTACTCAGGAGGCTGAGGCAGGAGAATTGTTTGAACTCAGGAGGCGGAGGTTGTGGTGAGCTGAGATCCCGCCATTGTACTCCAGCCTGGGTAACATGAGCGGAACTCCAACTCAAAAAAAAAACAAAACCAAAAACAACAACAGCAAAAAAAGGTGAAACCCCATCTCTACTAAAAATACAAAAATTAGCTGGGCATGGTGATGTGCACCTGTAGTCCCAGCTACTCAGGAGGCTGAGGCAGGAGAATTGCTTGAACCCAGAAGGCGGAGGTTGCGGTGAGCGGAAATCGTGCCATTGCACTCTAGTGTGGGTAACAACAGTGAAACTCTGTCTCAAAAAAAAAAAAAAAAAAAGTCAGCCCTGGATATCAATGACTTAATACAGTGTCACATCAGGATGAATGTCAATACCAAAACCAGAAACTTGATTTTCTGTGTTCTAACAGAAACTTATATGCCACTCAAACAAAAACCAAAAAAAAAAAAAAAAAAAAAAAGACATACTCGATAATATTAGTTTCAAACGTAAAAGGAAAACATCATACCTGCAGAATATATTGAGTGAGGTCAACTGCTTCTTTCTTCTCATGTACAAGTAGTGTTTCTTTGTCTTCTACAGTAATAATATTAATTTCTCCACGACGTACCTCCCTCACTCCCAGGGGGCGTTTTCGAACACAAACTCTGATTTTCTCCATCTCAGTCCAAAGATTCTGTTTCTCTGAAGTCTTCTGTCTAATACATGTTTATAAACAGGCTTTTAATTTTTAATAATAGGACAAGAATACTTAACAGGCCAAAGTATCGGTACATTTTGCTGTATGCTGGGCATAATATAGTTCTTAAGATTACAAAGTAAAGTGTCAGCACTGAGAAAGCCCTTCTCTCACCATCCCTACCCTACTCCATCCCTTCCCCTCCAAAAAAAACGAACCACCAAAAAAAAAAAAAAAAAAACCCAACAAACAAAAATCCCTTAAGAGATCTTATACAGGATACTATTTTATATAATTGTTTTACATCAATTCTTATTTCTTTAGCCCTCCAACTGGCTGCTGAAAAAAATATATTTTTTTGAGATAGGATCTCACTCTGTCACCCGGGCTGGAGTGCAGTGGCATAACCCCAGCTCATTGCAACCTCAACCTTCTGGGTTCAAGTGATTCTACTTCAGCCTCCTGAGCAACCGGGACTATAGGCATACAACACCACAAGTAGCTAAATTTTTTATTTTTTGTAGGGACAATCCCGCTATCTTTCCAGGCTGAACTCATGGCCTCAAGCAATCCCTCCTGCCTTGGCCTCTCAAAATGCTGGGATTACAGGTATGAGCCATCATGCTCAGGCTGGAAAATTATTTTTTTATGGGATCTGAATTGGTTTAAAAAAAAACCCAGCAAATAATTTTCTAATATAATGTTTTAAAACAAATTTTTTTAACCAAAATTTAGGGACTTAGCATCATTTCTGCATGAAACTGCAGGTGGAATAAATAAAGAATAAATAACTGAATGAATGAAATGTACCATTTTGAGGTAGTATGGGAAAAACCTGATAATCACTAAAACTGGATGATGTGTTGGGCACGGTAGCTCATGCCTGTAATCCCAGAACTTTGGGAGGCTGAGGCAGGCAGATCACTTGAGGTCAGGAGTTCGAGACCAACCTGGCCAACACAGTGAAATCCCATCTCTACTAAAAATAAAAAACTTTGCCAGGAGTGCTCGCTTAAACCCAGGAGGTGGAGGTTACAGTGAGCTGAGATCGTGCCACTGCATTCCAGCCTGGGCAAGAGAGTGAGACTCTGTCTCAAAAAAGAAAAAAAAAGAAAGAAAAAAAGAAAAGAAACCGGATGATGGACATACAGGGATTCACAGTTCTATTTTCTCTTCCTTTGCATATGTTTAATTTTTCACAAGAAAAGAGAATTTTTTGTTTTGAGACAGGGTCTTGCTCTGTCACCCAGGCTGGAGTGCAGTGGTATGAGCACAGCTTACTGCAACCTCAACCTCCTGGGCTGAAGACAACCTCCCACTTCAGCCAATAGTAGCTGGAACTACAGGTGCATGCCACCACACCTGGCTAATTTTTGTAGAGACAGTATCTCACCATGTTGCCCAGGCTGGCCTAAAACTCCTGGGCTCAAGCAATCTTGCCTGCCGTGGCCTTCCAAAATGCCAGGATTATAGGCATGAGCCACTGTGCTCATCGAAAATGAAAAAATTTAATGCATATTTTTTTCTTTCAAGAGTCTCACTGTATCACTCAGACTGGAGTGCAGTGGTGCAATCTTGGCTCACTGCAACCTCCATCTCCCAGGTTCAAGCAATTCCCTTGCCTCACCCTCTCGAATAGCTGGGATTACAGGCACCTGCCAGGATGCCCAGCTAATTTTTGTATTTTCAGCAGAGACAGGGTTTTGCCATGTTGGCCAGGTTGGTCTTGAACTCCTAAGATGAACCATCCTCACTGGCCTCCCAAAGTGCTGGGATTAGAGGGGTGCGCCACTGTGCCCAGCTTAATGCATCATTTTAATAAGGGTTTTGTGTTAAAATCTTTAGTTGTTAGCACACTGGTTAGGTGGAAAAATAAAAAAAAGGCTAACTAAAAAAAATTTTTTTAAATCTTTAGTTGTTGGATATCAATAACCTAATAATATAAAGCTATTCAAAGAGGACAGAAAACGTTTAGTACTTTTTAAAATTGTCCAGGGCTCTTAGATGACTCATATGAACAAAAGGCCCATTATTTTCAAGTTCAAGGGGCAAAAAGACATGCCATGTTCTTCTAAAAAGCTCTAATTTGGGCAGGGTGGAGTAGCTCTCATCTGTGTGCTTTGGGAGGCTGAGGTGGGAGGATCACTTGAGGTCAGGACTTCAAGACCAACCTGGGTAACACAGTGAGATCCCCATCTCTACAAAAATTTGAAAAATTAGCTGGGGATGGTGATGTGTACCTGTAGTCCTAGCTACTTGCGTAGCTTGACCTCAGGAGTTTGAGGCTGCAGTGGGCTATGACTGCACCACTGGACTTCAGCTTGGGCAACAGAACAAGATCCTGACTCTACGAAACAAACAAACAAAAAGTAAAATAAATGAAATGGCAATGGTTAAACTAAAATATCCATTCTATCCTTGATGGTGTTAAACAATGCAAAATAGTATTTTTATTTATAAGTAATTCCAATTTAGATTTTTATGTGTTGTTCAATAAAAAGATAACATTCAAGAAAATATTTGCTCCTTCACCACTGATATAACCAATAGAATAGCAATAATCTGACTTCATAGTCAAGGAACAATCTATTCCTCTTAGAATTAAAAGAAGAAAACAGTATTACATGCTCTGTGCTCTCCTAGACCAAACAAAATGTTTTCCAAAACATTGTAAAATTTATTTCAAATTATTAAAGATATTTTTACCATAAAACTGAGTCTTCTATTTTTATGGAGTAAAACAACTGATTATGAGAGCTTCCAAAACCTTAGCCAATATAAGACCAGATATAAATACTTTCTCTAAACATATGAGTAACAGTATTTTTAAAAAGAAAATATGGCTCAAGAATTTTATTTTCCCATAACTCACGTATATAATGTTTAAAATAAAACAAGCAATTTTTTTTTACATATTTCCTATGATACCACTGTTAGCACTAGGAATTCCTTATTATTTCACCTCTTAGGGGCCTTATTTCAAATTCTAACTCAAAACACTGGTGAAAATAACTCATTGTCACCCTGACTCTCAAACTCTAATCTCCACCAATGATGTCTTACTGTTTGTAATCACCAAAATTATCTGTTTTTTTCCAGGGCTGAAACTGTAGAAAGCACTAAAAATCAGGATCATATTTCAATGTGTGCAGATGAACTAATTGCTCCAAAGACCTACTTAATGAAACTACATGCCCTTGTTTTTAACAAAGCATCATTAAGTCTCCTGGTTGAAGTGAATTTGATAACCTTAAAAAAGTCCTGTAGATTGTGTAATTTTTTTCTCCATTGTAGAAGGGTTAACTATGTTGCTTTCACAGATGTATTAGATGTATCATGTTACCTTATGCTATAATAAATAATAGAAACAGGTCTGCTACAGATCCTGGCAAGTAGCAGCTGTTTTGATGTACATGAACAATATCATCTTTCTCCCATCTAGAAAGTCCCAATTTCTCATTAATTTTCCCACATCCAGGTATTCCTATTATTGATGCAAAAGCTGTTCATGATAATTTATTATATTTATTTACTGTAAATAAGGAGAAGATACTCTCTGCTGGACATGAAAGAGAGGCCTGCCCTTGCTAGAGGCTACTTTCCCTCAAAAGAAAAAAAGGTAACATTTATTACCTGATACAAGAATGAGGGATTCCATAGTCATACCCTGAAACATGGGAGATTCTTTGAATAGTGGGAATATCACAATCCCCCAGAACTGGAGAAAAGTAATTTGGTGAAAACAGTGAAGTGCTGATTTCTGTTTGCACATAGGAATCAGCAGATGTGGCATTCAGAATTCTTGTTTTTGTATGATACTGGGAATCATCTGGTAGCATGTGGTCTAGTACTTTTAGGTAAGTGGACTTCTGTTCATTTGCAGAGAAATCTGATAAACTGCACATTTTAAACCCATCATTGCTGGCATTTCTGTCTTTACTGTCAACAGGAGAATCAAAATTCAGCTGTCTGCGAGGGCCAGATCTTAATTTCTGAGACTTGATGCGCAAACTGCTTGTCTGAAGATGACGCTCTGGGATACTGACTGCTTTATCTTCTTCCTGCATAATCTTAATAATTTTGATAAGTTGGAAGAGACGTTTGCGGTCGTTCATGTCGTGGACTCCTAATTTGGAGTAGTCCTTCATTGTAATCTTGGCTAATTCATCTATTTTCTGAAGGCCAAGGGCAGTGAAATGAGAATAATACTGTGCAAGTTCAGCTTCACAAAGACATTCATATAACCAGGATGCCATTTTGGTGAATAGGTTTCTATAAACTCTGAAGAGAGAAAGAAAAGCCATTCACTTGAAATAGAGTATATATGATACAATTATGTCTTTTAGAAACTGAAAACCACTAAACATGCAAAAAAATGTTTTATTTGTCAAGTTCTCAATTTTCTGAAATTATTGATTAAATAGCATAGTGCATGAACAAAGATGCTTTGTATTGCATGTGAAGAATTTGTGGTAACATATAATTTGTTAATCTGCTTAATAAAAGATCTTCCATTATATATACACACAGATACACAAATAAACACATACATAACATATCACTTACTTATTTCTAGGGAGTTCCTTCCAACCTTGCAATGTCTACTTTACATACGCCACAACTACTGAAACCTTGTTCCCAACAACTGATTGTAGCAGGACTAATTTTAGATGCTCAACTTAATGTCAAGGCATGCTGCACAACTGTTTCCCATGAATAATGAACAGGGGCTAAAAACTCTTTCAGAATGAAAAGCAGAATTAAATGGCATACCACAGAGGATTATAAACTAATATAACCCAAAGGAAGATAGCACTTGTATTTGCTGAGTACTGGCAAAAGTTAGCTAAATAGAAGTAAAGACATCATCAATTCAGCATCTACCAATTCAGGATTTCAGATCATTCCAAAAGGTGGTCATCAATCTCTACCTGTACAGAATATGAATCAAATAATTTACCCAGAAAATTAATACTATGGTCAAGATTTTAAATAGTTGTAAAATGTTTTTAAAACTTTAACATTGAGATACTTAATTAAATACTAACAAATGACATGGTAATAACACATAATCCTGGTCTATTATTAAAGTCAAGATCCTAAGTTCTCTATATCACTGTTAAGTTCATGAGAATATCCAAAAGTAAATAAACTACATTTTCTTTTTTAAAATAATTTTATAATCCAGGGTTTTCAAAAATTCAGTTTGGTAACTAGTGGTAAAACATTCCTGTTTTCATTTTAATTTATGTTTTTTCTTTTTTTTAAGTTTTCATTATTTACTTCCTGTTGATTTGCGTATTTTACCTTCTTTCTAGCAGAAAGAGAGTTGAGGGCAAGGTAATAAAAATAATCAAAGAACCTTGAATAATTTGCTTTGGAGGAAATACTCCTTAGGTTAAAAGGCTAAATGGGCTGAGTAACACATCCTAAACTAATCCTGGCCTTTTCTATTTGTAGCAGATTTGGGTTTTTTTTTGTGTTTTTGTTTTTCGAGATGGAGTCTCGCTCTGTTGCCCCGGCTGGAGTGCCATATCTCAGCTCACCTCCACTTCCTGGGTTCAAGCAATTCTCCTGCCTCAGCCTCCCAAGTAGCTGGGATTAGAGGCAAGCGCCACCATGCCTGGCTATTTTTTGTATTTTTAGTAGTGATGGGGTTTTGCCATGTTGATCAGGCTGGTCTTGAACTCCTGACCTCAGGTGCTCCACCAGCCTCAGCCTCCCAAAATGCTGGGATTACAGGCGTGAGCCACTACACCAGCTGGTATATTTGCTTTTTGAAGGCAGCTTTGTGTTTTAAATCAAAAATTCTTTGCAGGTTCTTCCATCAAGAAATGAAGTCTATGTCTTCCCTCATTTCATCTAGGCTAGCCTTGTGACTTGTTTTACCCAATACAATATGACGGAAGTAATGCTATGCAACTTTCATGCCTAGCCCTCAAGGGCCCAGCCAACAGCCATCACCAAAGCCAGACATGTGAGAAGCTATCTTAGGCTATCCAGGCCCAGTGGCATCACTATATGACTTCAGCCACATGAGTGACCTCAGGTCAGATCAGGAAAAGAGCAACCCAAATATCTGGGCAAAGACCCAAAATCTGACTCACAAAGATGAGCAAATAAAATAATTGTTTTAAGCCACTAAGTTTTGAGAGTAATTTGCTACATAGCAGTAGATAACTGCAATATCCTTCTGTGTCTTTTTTAAAAATAATTTTTTAAAGCAAGTTTTTAAGAAATTTATTTAATTAATTTTTTGAGATACGGTCTTCGGACTCAAACTTGTAGGCACAAGAGATCCTCTCATCTCAACCTCCCAAGTAGCTGGGACTATATGTGTGAGCCACCGTGTCCAGATTAAAATTATTTTTTATTAGACTTTATTTTCTACAGTTTTACATTCACAGCAAAATTGAGTGGAGGGTATAAAAATTTCCCATATATCCCCTGCCTCTCACATGTATAACTTCCCCTTGTTACCTGTTTTTTTGGGTTTTCTTTTTGAGGCAGGGTCTTGCTCTGTTGCCCAGGCTGAAGTGCAATTATGTGATCATGGCTCACTGCAGCCTCAACCTCCTGGGCTCAAGTGATCCTCCCACCTCAGCCTCCCAAATAGCTGGGACTACAGGTGCATATCACCACATATGGCTAATTTTTAAATTTTTTTTGTAGAGAAAGGGTCTCCCTATGTTGCCCAGGCTAGTCTCAAACTCCTGGGCTCAAGTGATCCTCCTGCCTCAGCCTCCCAAAGTGCTGGGATTACAGGTGTAAGCCACCGAACCCAGCCTAAATATGCTTCTGAATACCACATTCCATTTTACAATGTTGAGCCCCTCCTCCTCCTTCTGAGACAAACATCTGAATCACTCTAGACACTTGAGTTTTTGTTGATGTTGCTTATTGTTTGTTTGTTTGTTTTTTGAGACAGTCTTGTTCTGTTGCCCAGACTGCAGTACGGTGGCGTAATCCCAGCTCACTGCAACCTCTGCCCCTGGGTTCAAGTGAGTCTCATGGCCTAGTTGGGATTACAGGTGTGCACCACCACGCCCCGCTAATTTTTTTTGCATTTTTAGTAGAGAGGCAGTTTCACCATGTTGGCCAGGCTAGTCTCGAACTCCTGACCTTAAGTGATCCACCTGCCTCAGACTCCCAGCCCACTCTAGATAATTTAATAAAAAATATAGATACCTGGCTAGGCATAGTGGCTCACACCTGTAATCCTAGCACTTTGGGAGGCAGAGGCAGGCAGATCACAAGGTGAAGAGATTGAGACCATCCTGGCCAACATGGTGAAACCCCATCTCTGGGCATGATGGCATGTGCCTGTAGTCCCAGCTACTCAGGAGGCTGAGGCAGAAGAATCACTTGAACCCAGGAGGCAGGGGTTTCAGTGAGCCGTGATCGCGCCACTGCACTCCAGCCTGGCAACAGAGCAAGACTCCGTCTCAAAAATAAATAAATAAATAAATATCTACACACATACACACACACACACACACACACACACACGTATATGCACAAATAAATCTATGTGTATATATATGTATACATAGATCTATCTATGTATATAGATCTATATATCTATCTAAATATATCGATCTATGTATATAGAAAACCAAAAAGCAACAAGAAAAAACTCCCAGGTGGTTTTAGGAAAGACAGACACCAGAACTTTGAAAAAGTTCCCTAGGTGATTATGATTGTATGCCACTGATTTATAACTATCAAAACCACAAATACAAATGCACTGATCCAGCAATTCCACCTCTAAGAACTTATCCTTATCCTCCAGATATTACCTAGAAGTACAAAATGACATAAGTATAATGTTATTCATTACAGTACTGCCTGTAATAGCAAAGTCATGGAATAGAGACTGGTTAAATAAATTATGATAGTGCATTTAATGAATACTATGAGGCAATTACAAAGCGTAAGTAAACTGTAATATGTTATTAAAAAAAGAAAGCGCTCCAATATATTGTGAATAAAGCAAGGTAAAGAGCAGTTTGTAAGAGAGATAAATGATCTATAATAAATATATATGTGTGCTTATCAGACAAAAATAATCACTGACAGGATGCACAAGTAATAATAGTGGTGTTGCAGGGGTGAGGGGAAGTAGATGATAGAGGACAATTATGAGAAGGAAACTACTGTATACTCGTAAATGCTGGTAGTTATTACCTTTCCTATTGTCATTTCTATTTCACTGGTGTCTCTATCACCCAGGGATAATTTGTTTTTTAAAAGTTGAAACTATGTGACTGTATTATTTATTTTAAAACATTTCCAAATGAAAAAGTATATATATTTCTAATTCCACCTCTTTCTCCCTCCCAGCCTCCCCAAATTAACCTGATACAACGGTTTTTTAAGACTTTAGTGGCTTTCTAGCCTTTAAAAAACTGTATATAACACTGTACTCATAACTATATTGCAATCTATGCTTTAATTTAACATAAACATTCTCATATGCTATTCATTACAGCCATAAAAAAATCCATACCATCATAAATATATGCCTACTAGATTAATTTCAGGGAAATGTGACTTCTCTCTAAACTCCTGTGGAGTTTTGGTGATAAAACTGACAGGGCATTTATGACATACTCATTTTTTAAAAAATTTACTGCCAGTCTTGTTCCAGAGATAATGTAAGGTGGCTCCGCCTTATACTACTGTGTGAATTATTAAAGACAAAAGCAATATGATCTCACTCAGCCAAGCACTGCGCTACATAGGTGTGCAACAAATATTTTACGTGAATAGTATCTGCTTAGATTCTGTTCATTTTAAATATTTAGAAATGGGCAGGGCACAGTGGCTCACCCTTGTAATCCCAGCACTTTGGGAGGCTAAGGCCGGTGGATCACTTGAAGTCAGGAATTTGAGAACAGCCTGGCCAACATGGTGAAACCTTGTCTCTACTAAAAATGCAAAAATTAGCCAGGCGTGGTGGCGAGTGCCTGAAATCCCAGCCTCTCAGGAGGCTGAGGCAGGAGAATCACTTGAACCCAGGAGGCAGAGGTTGCAGTGAGCTGATATTCTGCCATTGCACTCCAACCTGGGTGACAGAGCAAGACTCCATCTCAAAAAAAAAAAAAAAATTTAGAAACGTTCTATTATTGGCTGGGTGTGATGGGTCATGCCTGTAATCTCAGCACTTTGGGAGCCAAGGTGGGTGCATCACGAGGTCAGGAGATGAAGACCATTCTGGCCAACATGGTGAAACACCATCTCTACAAAAAATACAAAAATTAGCTGGGTGTGGCAGTACG